ATTGTTATTCTATTTCTAGTTGTCATTCCCGGGCTGTGTACAGGACAGTCATTTCACAATAACCGTGGGAGTGCCTTCTTCCCCAAGAAATAGTGTAGTCATATTAGAACTGTGGGAGCCTCACTCCAGGGCGGTACGGGGGGATGTTTGTTTGTTTCTTAATTCCTGATTTCAGCTTATTCTCCATGTTCCATGCAATGCAACAGACTAGTGAAAATGATTGCAAGCATATTCTGGGCTACTCACATTCACTCCTAAGGGGTTCTAAGAAAGAGAAAGAGAAATGTTCTTGAATGGTGAGGTATTTCTGAGAGGGAGAGGTAGCATACTGCTCTTTTTTCTTTTTAAAGGACTACCTGTGTGAATATGTGGATAAAGACCCATCCTTTCATGTTCGTAAATCCAAGGTAAAAAAACAACCCTCTCTAAAACAAAACTGCTCCAAACATGGGAGGGGAGAGAGTATTCCTCAAAATGGGCACTGTCCAACAGGAGTCCATGACAAGTGCACCAACACTTATTCATATTGACGGTAGCGGAGCTCTTTGATCTGCTGGCTACTAGTTTCAGTATTTCCAAATCGCTGCTTTAAGCGCTACGAAGAATCAGTTTGACCAGGGACCTTGCAAGATGGAAAACCAAAGCATATATGCTGCAAGTACAATGCCACTTGCAAAATATATCCACCCTATATCCCACTAGCAGGGTTGTACACAAATTTAGAATACTCTGAACCATGGGTAGGCAAACCGGCCCAATCGCCTTCTAAATCCGGCCTGCTGACAGTCCGGGAATCAGCGTGTTTTTACGAGTAGAATGTGTCCTTTTATTTAAAATGCATCTCTGGGTTATTTGTGGGGCATAGGAATCCGTTCATCCCCCCCCCCAAAAAAAAATGTAGTCTGGCCCCCCACAAGGTCTGAGGGACTGTGGACCGGCCCCCTGCTGAAAAAGTTTGCTGACCCCTGGAACTTTACCATTCCCCAAAGTGGGCCTGTCAAATGCAGTATTGTCATTTATAGAATGGAAAAGTTTGATTCTGACCAGATGCTGTGTTGTCTGCGATAAACAAGATAGAAATTAATATTGGGCTACTTCCAAACACAACAGCAGTTCCTTGTTCTTTCTCATTACTAAATAAAATGTTATGTTCTAAAGGGGTTCACCTTCTACTTATTTATGTGAATAAACCAATAAGTATGCTTACACAGGGATCAGAGCTACCAGACACACAAGAAGCAACTGAAAAATTAACACACTGCATCTGAGGAGTTAATTAACAGAAATGTGCATCTTGTAAGAAAGTTGACAAGGGATGTAATGTAGCCACTTTCAATTGAAACTTAAATTTAATGGCATGGGCATGATTGTGACATATGTTTGTTTTATCTGTTACCGTACAGCCTGAATCCATATTTGCCAAGGACAAAAGGTCTCACCCCCGCCCCAGCCATCACCTCCCTGAAAATTCAAACCCCATATGGATACTTTTCAAATCTGCTCTGGAGTGTTGAGGGACCCCCAGAACACACTTAGGGGGCATGTGGGGAGAGGGAGGGGCAACCCTGTTGCACAGCCAGAAGTCTATACACTAATGGTACTGCTTTGTTAGACACTACTCAGTATCTCAAATCTCCATGTAGCTATTGTCAGTACACAACTCTAGCCTGCAGGTTCCAGTGTCTCCTCTCAACTAATCTTCTCTGTCCTCTGTGTGTACAAATATCTTTCAAACAGTTTTAAGGATTCAGGACTCATGTGCTTGAGTTTTCTGAGTATTGCACACTACATGCAGTATCTATGCAAGACAGGGTACTTTTAATCAAAAGAATGAATAAAGAAAGGTCTGTTGTAGTAACAAATACTACCCATAGCTGAGATGCTTGAGGAATTTAATTTCTGTAAATTTCTGTGTTGAGTGCCCCAGTTTGCATCTCCCAGACTAGTGTATGGTTTGGCCCATAAAATCCTTTGGATTTTGCACTTCCCTGAATTCTTCTCAGCTCAAATACTGCACCAAAATGCATTAAAATGTGTGTCTTAGGGTAGAAACATATTTGGAAATGCACACATGGAGGTCAAATGCATATTTAAATATATATTATTGGATATATTAATTATTTATCTAAATACAGATTTTCATGCTGATGTTAAAAATGGAGCTTATTGCAGAAACAGAACAAAAAAGACTTAGAGATGAACGCATGTAAAATTAACACTGACTGGAATTAGGTTGATCGATCCCTAGTTAAAAACAAATGATAATTATTATAGAATACAGTTAAGTGCCATCTTTAATTTCAATATGTTTTGTACAGATCTAACTGTTCCTTCAAAAGTGAGGAGTCAAGTCTTTTAAATTTTATGTATGCTGATTTTAAGCATGGGAAAAGTTAGTTTCAAAGCTATAAACATTTGTTAGAAAAATCACTATAAAAGGATTTCCAGAAAACTTTGGTTAGTTGTAAGAGAAGTAACTGTAGTTTGTGATCCTCTCTGGTTAGAATATGTTTAGGTGATTTTTTTAGATTTTTTTTTAGTGCTCATTAAAGTTAGGCTCAGAATAGTACTGCCTGGAGTTGAACTTAGTTCAGACAGGTTCTGTTTCAATTCCCCCACAGACCACTGCCAGGGTACCTCTGCCCTGACCTTTGGCATTCTGCTATTTTAGTCCTGGGATTCTAAGGAGAGACTGACAAGAGTACCAAGTTACACAGGGGTTAATTGAAATGGCTAGGTGTCCACTGGAAACTTAACTGAAAGTAAATCCACTCTAACTTCCGTTGATGCGAGTTCCTTTTGTTTCACGCCAATATAGATTCTCTCTACTAAAGTCTAGCATCCTGCTTACTCTCTAGTACATCCTCACAACTAATCTTCTGTGTTCTCTACCTTGACCTAACAATGTTACCTATATCTTACAAATGTGGATCTTCTTGCAATTGATATTTCTGCAAATATAATTTGATCTGTGTGTGGATATCTGTTTAGCTAGCGCTTGGTTTATTTAAAAAGGGCGGCAGGAACTAGCCTGTTCTGAAGACACCTAAAACACCTTTTTCCTAATTCCAACAAATGAGCAAGCTGGCTATTATTGCTTCACATTCTCAGAGGCACTCTTTCATTTGTGACTTCGGTTGCCTTTGACATTCCCAAACAGATTCTGGAGGTTCCAGTGATTCAAGATTCTGGAGGGTGGCTCAAATCTGGCAATGTGCTTATCAGATGTTATTTATAGAAACATTTTACAAGTTTATCACCTTGTTTTTGCAAATAGCTCCACTTCAGCCACCTCATGCCAACGTTCTCCCTCGGTTGGGAAAACATCTAGCAAGACTCATTGGGTTTTCAGTAACATTGACATCTAGCAAAATAACATATTAAATGAATAAGGTTCGAATCCTCAGCTTGTTTACTTCCGAATAGACCCATTATAGTTGTAGCTCTATTCCGGAATATGTGTTGTAGATAGTTATACTGTAACTAGCTGCATGGGTGACTTCTCATGACAAGAATCAACCTGTCATAGACACGAGCTTCAGAAAATATCCTCAATTTCCCAATTGTTCCCAGAAAATAATGAATCTGCAGACTTGAGGTGATATCTAACTAAGTTATACTCAGAGTTGACCCACTGAAATCAATGAACTTAAATTACTACTGTTATTGATTGTGGATATCACCATTGATATTTCACACTGGATATCACCATTGATGTTTTACAAGTCTCTCCCAAGTAAAGTTTAGCAGGATGTTGCTGACTCTGGCTTGACATCCCCTAGCTTCAGAACCAACACAGGTCACATGTAAGCTATTCTGCACATTGACTGGATATCCCTAAGTATGAGCACATGGGCCTGTGTCCCAAGGTTACTTCTGAGTTGTTGCAAATTAATCCTCTCCATCTCACTCAGGCTACAAAAGAGGTGTTTGGGCCAGTGCCAGATTAAACCCTGTGGAGGCCTCTAGGCAGTTGAAATCTCAGGGGGGGCATCGCAAATCTATTACGTTTTTGAGCACACTAACTCACAGAAAGCTTCATATCTGGAGGTTTCTTGTGCACGTGCTCTATTGGGATAACACTGATCTAAGTAAACTTGATTGTAATTTGATTTCAAGATCAGATCAATATTATTTTGAAGCATTGTTGCAGGACCCCTAAAAGACCCATAGATCGGTGCCTGCTCTGCCTATTTTGTAATCTGGCACTGTCCTTGGCCTTCACCTAGGGGCCTGCTGGGGCTCTTTCTTTGAGCTTATAATTCCCACCCTTGCCCCCCTTGGACTTCCTATTGTGGTAGAGCCTCAGTTCTTGTATTCACCTACTGGCTGATGGCTCAGGGCTGTAATTTGAGTGCAGTGGCAGCACTATTGAAGCGGAGGATGTTCTCTGAACACATCTACCTTCAGAGCCAAAGAGCGAGGGAAGTGCAACCAGATGATCATGGGAAAGAAATGTTTCTGTTTCTGTTCCGCTAGCTAATAATAGTAACAACAGCAGCAAAAACAATAGATGGGAGAGGTGACCCATCTGCTGAGGTGGAGGAGTGGTTGCTGCTTTCTGCACACATCTGCATACAAAGAAAGATGTGGAACAGTTTTTGTGTGTGTACAAGAGCCTCTCTTCCCCAGTCCAGTTCCCTACAAAAGCACCCATAAGAAATTAAGCCCCACTCAGATGAAACAGAATGTTTATGATTTTGTTGGTTGGTTGGTTTGAAATACTGCCCTTCACAGGGCACTTTACACTATAAAAACACAAAATACTAAACACAACAAGAAGAGTGTTTAAAAACCATGTGCCATTTCAAAGCCTTTGGCTGCTACACATACTGCAGCCTGATCCAATAGAATCAATCATAGAACTGTAGAGTTGAGAGGGATCTCAAGGGTCATCTCGTCCAGCCACCTGAAATGCAGGAATCTCAACTAAAGTATCCATGATAGATGGCCATCCAACTTCTCCTGAAAGACCTCCAAGGAAGGAGAGTCCACAATCAAGCCTACAGCACCCGGTATTCCCAGGTGGTCTCCCATCCAAGTACTAACCAGGCCTGACCCTGCTTAGCTTCTGGGATCAGACATGTTCAGGGTGGTATGGCTATAGACAAGAAAACCTTTGTTTAGTGTGCCTTCCTTTTTTTTGCTGGGTCTTTCTTCATTACTTTCTACCTATTTTCCTGTGTATTTTCTTCCTGTTGCTTGTTCTTGTTGGGCCTCCTTCCATCTTCTCACCCCTGCCCCTACTTTGTTTCTGTTCTTTCTTCTTCTCATTTTCCTTCATAGCACCAACCAGTACAGAGGTTCTTCCTCTTCCCTGAAAATCAGGTATATCCAGGCATACATATATATATACACGCAAGGAAGAAGAGGCAATGGAATGTGCTTTCACTTTCTTGGGTGAAAGCCTGCTCAGAAATAGGTCCCATTGAATTCAGTGGTGAAGGCTGCTTTAGAGCTATTCCAATAAAGCTGCTGTTTTTCTCTTGACCCCCACTTGATTCTTCTCAGATTCCATTGGTATGTTCTCAAGAGCCAGTCTTCCTTCGGGACTTGATGGCCTTATCAGTCTTATCACTTCTGGTCTTGTCACACAGACACCCACAAATAATTAAGGGGTGGGCTTTTGAAAAAGCGATCCCACATATTATGTGACATTGAAAACTGCAGAGCTGAGTTGAGATTGTTAGATATATGAAGCCAAATTTATGTTTCATTATAAAGCCAAAACATATTTAGGTATATTGGGAATATTACACTTTAGTTGTGCCCTTTTCAGGATGAACTCAAGGCAGAATACATCCAACTCCCCTTATCATCACAAAAAACCCAGCGCAGTAGCTTAGGTTGAGAGACAAGGTGTAAGTCCATATTCACCCACTGAGCTTCATGCTTGAGAAGGAACTTGAAGCCAGGTCTGCCCTTTCCAAGCTTAGCACTGTATCTACAAGCCACTGGACTATGTTGGCCCTCAATCAACTTGTTAAATAGATGACAGCATAAAAAGCCATTTTAGCCTATTACGCTTCTTAAAGTCAGCTTTCTCTGGAGACCACTGCAAGCTAAGCTACAAGTAGATTACTATGGTTCTGTTAAGAGACTTCTGGGCATTTGCTTGCTGGAGAGAACCTACAAAAGTTTGTTGTTTGGGCATAATTGTACTGGCACATTTAGCTTCTCTGCATTACGTTGCATTTCAGCATTATACAACATTATATATTAAGTTTTGCTTTGATACCGCAAGTCTTCTGTGGCTGTGTTTACCTCTTTTGTCACTTGCTTTGCTAACATTGTCATTTAAGGGATGTAGTGCAGCTGTCAAATTTTCTTGTCAGTAGAGATTTATGACTCCAACATGCATCACACATACATGAGTATACAAAGTATTGGATACTGGGGGCAATAGTTTCTCATCCATACCAACGTTTCATCTGGCTGTATGTTTTAGTCATTTTTACTTAAAAACTGATGCCCATATTTATTAGATTCAAAATCACCCTGCCATATTTATTTGGAAATCTGAGAATAATTTGGATTTGTATCACATTAACCCTCCAACTGCTAAGATCTTAATTACAATAATAAATCATAGGCATAGTTTAAAAATATCTGTAAAGTACAGACCAGACTTCTGTGATGTGTCACACAGCAAATTAATACATCAATTAACTTTCTATCTGTTTACTGTAATTTCGAGATCAGTCATTAGACCATGATTAACCATAAAAAATAAAAAATAAACTGTTTTACACAGCTGGTTGTTCTTGAAGCATTACACCTGCTTCTAGAAGGAAATTATGATTTTACTCAGAAGCTTGAGAAAGCAAGTAAGTGAAATTGTCTGTTTTCATTTGTAGACAAGGCCACTTGTGATTTTTTAAATACCAACTTTCCAGGGAGAAATCTCAACATGGTAAGAGTTTTGGACTCTCATGCCTGTCCCAGGAATGGATTATGAAGTCAGGAAGATTCCACATTCAGATGAACACAATATAGCACAGTTGTTTTGTTACTTTAAGAAGTTGAGCCAAACCAATGGCCCATCTAGCTCAGTATTGTCCACATCAGAGATTCTCAAACTTTCTACCTTCAGTGCCCACCTGAGTTGACTGAAAATTACCGAGACCCACCAGTCACGAAATGGGAGGCAGAGTTTAACATTATCTGCTGGCGATCACTGCAACACTTTCTACAGATATCTAATTTAGCTTTGGAAATTGCTAATTCCACAGCTCAGCTTTCCTCAAGCAGATTTTTGTTTAAGTATTATGACTCGGCCTCCCCATTTTAGGCAGAATTTGGTGATCCAGAGGCTCTAAGTGGAAAAGACTTCTTCTTTTATTGTTTTAGTTTCCTACCCCCAGTGCTAATTTTCTAGAAAAATAGGTTCTGTAACTTGCCCTGAACGCCTCCCTTGTTCCCTTAGAATAGCAAAGGCACCCACCTGAGAGGTGCCAGAACTGAGTTCCAGCAAGTTCCGGCTGAAAAAAAGCCCTGCCTCTGGAAGTTTTTTTTACTCAACCCCAGTTAATTTATTCTCACACTATCCTTTCATACTCAACTTGTACTTCACCCCTGCCCTACCCCCAGCTGTAAATTTCTTTAATCCAACCTCTCTGGTCCTTTTGCATGCACATCTTCTGCTTATAACATCACTCTTCTCTTAGCCCCTTCCTTTCTATTCCCAGACTGTCTGTTAGTTAATAATAATAGTAAATATTAAACGTTTACCTCTCTAATTTCTTTCAGTGCCATCTCTGGCCCTTCCTCTCAGTAGTCAGGGAGGCTGCATTGCTCACCAGGCTTCCTAATACTGAGTGTTACTGCTATTTACTGAGAGATGGAGGGGCGAGGGATTGAGGGTGGGTGATGCAGGCATAGTGGTGCAGCCAATCCAGTACCATTACAGTGTGCTCCCTGCCATATTGCCTTTCTTCCTCTCAGTGACCAGCCGCAATGCTTGCTATTGGGAAGTCAGGTGAGTAATTCCACAGAGGTTGCCACTGTGCTCAAGACTATTATTGGCTTAAGATTTCTCCCTAGAAAGCCAAATATAAATTACTAAATATACTGCTGTATAATACCTGACCTCTTCCATCATTTCAGATCAAAACAGTCCCCATTGCTGTATAAAAAAAACCCTCCATTGGTCTCTGTTCTTCCTTTAATCCCTTTCTTCTAAAAAGCAACCCAAGAAAATAAGCCTCATCATACAGTTCAGTTTTCATTGCTTTGCACCACTCATTTACATAGGCATTTTTGCCAAATTCAGGAGGATTAAGGCAGTTGTAGAGAACCGGTAGCCCTCCTGATTTTGTTGGACATCACTGCCATCAGTCCTAGCCAGCATAGCCAGCAGTCAGTGATGACAGACATTGGAGTCCAACGTCTAGAAGGCCACATGTTTTCCATCCCCACTTTGAAGTAGATATTATTATCATTTTTGTCATTTAGAGATGTCTTTGCGACATTGCACAGTTCCTGGCATAGTTACCTAACCATTTAGCAGTTGATACAACTCTACTCCGTAATGGTGGCGGTGGAAAGAGCAGCAGTTGAACTCATGGTTTTAGGCTGCTTGAAGATAATGGTGTGAGAAGCCAATGAGAGATTATGTTGAAATAATGTAGAATTCCTATTTAGGCATGTTGTAGCGCTACAGTTCTCACAGGTGAGATGTGAGAGGAAAGACATGGTACATAAAATAAATGTGAGATCTTTCTTGACACTTGCACATTTTCATAAACCTCCTATCTGTGTCACATAGCCCAGTGATGATACAGAGGTTTGTATCTAACTTGAGTTCTACTTAGTGTAGACACATTGAAATTAATGGACTTAAATTAGTCATGGCCATGAATTTCAATGGGAATCCAATGTGTAGAACTAGCACTGGATACAGCTCAGAATGTCCATTTGCCCAATTCAAACTAAGGGCCTTTGTACACAGCTGTTAGTTACACTTCCACAACTCAAAGCTCCATTAATGTCCACCCAGTGGTGTTTTGTGGCTGTTTGGTAGAAGAAACAGCTTCTGTCATTCCCAGTTACCATTGCAGTTTTGGACCATTGGATGAGAGGGCAATCCTGTTGTATCTGTTGCTTCTTAGGTTGAGTTGCTTGAATTAGCTTGTCTATGACTACCTCTCTGGTAAATGAAAACTCCCTTTCTCTGTTAATAACTAGGCCGGGCTGGGGGCAAAAAGTAAGGTTCAGGAGATTTATAACAGCCTCCTAATGTTGTGTTGTTTTTATTCTGTCTTCTTTTACTAGGCACCTTAATAATGAACATGCATTGGATGACAGAAGCACTGCTCAGTGTCGGGTGCAAATGCAGGTGGTTCAGCAATTAGAAATACAGGTTTGGGAAAATTTTCTAGAAATCTTTGACTTCTTTGAAGAAATATGATTTGTTCTGAATTGATTATTATTAATTAGAATTCATAATTTACTACTACTTATAAGTTCTGACTTATTGTTTTATAAATTTATTTTATAAATTATAACAATCTTACATAGACTGTTAGTGTTTGGGAGCAAATCCCTTTTCACATTATCACTTTTGTCACATGGTGGCTCTCCCAATGGTGCTTTTTGTGTAAACTGTGAGAAGTAGCTATCCACAGCACAAATGGCACAAACCCTCTCAGAAGTTACCCAAAGTATATATTCTGTAAAGGTTGCTAACTTTAAGTGCAACAAGGAAAGATTTGGGGCAGGTGAGAGATGAGTGGACTGGACAGTAGACCAGTCAGTACCCTAAACTTAGGAAGAATTTGGATGCCTTTGGGGGGAAGTTAGATTGCCCAAATTTCAGGAACATCAGACAAAACTTCAGACAAATTTCAGATGTCTGCAATTTCCTGCCTTATATATTCTTAAGGTGGTCTGGCAAAATTAGGTTTAATAATTTCATCTGTGTAGCACAGGCCCAAAAATAGTGGCACATTTAAATGTAATTCGTCTAATTTAATTTGTAAGTTTACCTCCTCCCATTTGTTCCAATACAACTTCTAAGGTCCACCAAAAATATCCTCTTAATGAGGCTATTTGTATGGCACATTCAGATAGCAAGGGCAAGGGCTGCCCTCAGTGGGTGACTTCCTCTT